GTATCTGTAGCACTGATAACGAAAAATTTTGACTGCAGAAGCTTAGCCATTGTTGAGAAATAAACAAAAGAATAAAACATTGTTCTATATTGTGTTCCTTTATTCTAAATTTCCTAGTTATCAAAACAGGAGGCGGCTCCTTGTAAAACAAACATGCTTTTTGGCTTTTATAGGGGCTGTAAAATAATAAAGTAATTCCTAGCCGCTTTGAAGTGCCGCCGCCATAAACTGACGACTACCTGCGAATTTCGTTACAAGGAATGTTGGTGGGAAACTACCACTTGCGAATATTGCAATATACACGATATACTTCACTTCAATGTTATCTGTATTTTTCATTCCAAATATCTGAAAGAATAGAAAGTTCCACAGCTGAAAATTACTCTTATGATATTTTGTTGAACTAGAGATATCTTCTTATTTTCGACACCCTTCCTCACAAGTACCTACTTGTTTAGTTGTAAAATGAGATACCTACAGATTTCAAGGGCCCTATAATTCTAGCGTAACCCTATAATTCTTTAAATCTAGCGTTTAACTGAGTCAATGGCTGAGGTATGGAAGCGACACGGGAGGGTGTTTTTGTGACGGTCAAACGGCAGCGAGACTTTATACAGNAATAAAAAACCACCGGTTATAAGGGCATTTTTTGGAGAAATTTATCAAATAACCAAAAAAACACGAATTTTAAAGCAGATTTTTTTCAAAAAGTATCATTTTTTATTATTTGTTGTCCTTTTTTGTGTATTTTATGTAGATTTGTACCTATGCTCTGTCACATCTTAATAATGTCAATGTCACCTCTCCCGTGCCGCTTCCATACCTCAGGCACATACCCTAATGCATTTTTTTTTCTTACGCTACTACATCGCATACTACATCAGGTATTTGCTTAATAATGTTTTAAAATGCACTTGCGCTACTCATACGTTTGCAGTCAGCAAAATACATTTCATGAATTTTTCCACGAACCGTGACGTGTCGTCAGCATAGCCCTTCGGCAGAGTAAAACAAAACCAAACACGACGTCTCAAAACAAACAATTATCGCGGGACTTTGTCTTGTCCATTATTTTGTCAACACGGTTCAGTTAAATGGTGAATTCGAGATTTATGACCGTACAACGGGACTAAGAAGCCGTTCGTCAATTGTTTACCACGGTGAATTAGGAACCAGTATTTCACATTGGAACGGTTGCAGGGTCCACAAAACTGACAAGAATTGAACTGGTCACAGCTGAGTTGTACATGTGACTTGCAAGTGAAACCTGTGTTTTAAAACAACATGATTATGTTCCAAGGAGAATGATTGTGAGTGATCCTAAATAGGCAATCTTTACATTTGCGGACCTCTAGATACTTGGTGAACGTGTGAAGAAAAAGTGAATTTTATTGTGATTGGTCTACCATAAGTTTCATACTCTTAACGCTACTTTATTTATTCGGCTACTGCTGGTAGCTCTCTTATAAGTATGTTACACTGCTTTCCTACTAATTTAATGGACCTTCAAAGCCAGAAAAGAAAATTGAAATATGCACTAGAATTGCGCAACAACATTTGATTTTTAAATGTTAGATTTTTAAGTCGAGTTACGACTTTTGCAGTGAATTCGGAGTTCCTTAAAAAAATGGTCAATGATCAATACCAAAGATTCTTTGCACATTTTACCTACCAACAATAAAAGCGACAGATGTCGATTTTTTTGGCAAATCATAAATTAGAGAAAAAGATCCAAAGTAAATATGAACAGAAAAGCCCCGCGGCAAAACCAAATACGATATTCTGAATAAGCCATCGATTGATTTCGCAAGATTAATGGTGGCACATTGTCAGCGCCACAGTATGACGAGAGTTCAACCAAACCACCACAAAAATACACTTTATTTCACATGTAATAAGATCCAACAAATTGCATTTTCGAATTCTTTTTGACTTGACACATCAATGAATGATGTTTTTATTTCTTAATCCAAACTTCAGCTTGTAGCAGAACAAATAGAGTTCAAACTTGATTGACAAATTGTGATCCCTTTTGACCTTTTAGTTTTGTGTAGTAAAAGTTAGGGTACGTTTAAAATTGATTTTAGAATTCAGTGTGAAATTGAAATAAAAGTTTTTTATTTGAAATCACACAGGCATAACGAGTGCTTTACGGTTAATCTGGTCATTAAACATTTATTTGTTTGGTTTTAAAATGCAATAATATTTGAGGTCAAATATTAATATTTGACTATAAATGGGTTGAATTTAGCGAAATGATTAATGCTTGTATAATTTTGGGCACTTATGTTGCAGTATAGCAAAATAGTCATTACTTTCTCTTACAGTTGAATTAGAACTTACCTACTAGTGTGTAATTTATCATTTTTATAATTTTGATATTTCATGACTTTTTCAGGATTCAACATATTAAATTTTGATTTTATTGGCCCATTTGTATATGCCCACAGCAACAAATCCCCTACCAAATCTGGGTATTAAACCAGTGGGTGTACAATTGTAGACAGATGGGTGATCGGTAGGTGTGTACTGCGCACATACGGTGCATATGTCGCCTTACCCGCGCTTGCTATTGGGCGAAGTATTGTGCGAACGTAGTATGACTCTGCAGAAGTTACGCAGTTTTCTACCTATGTCGGGAAGCCAGTGAGAAAGAGTGATTCAGCAATAATATTATACCTAAATGTAGCATGTAGAATTTGACGACAATGAATTAATGTAGGTACAATCTATATAATACAATAATGACTCTACTAATTATACTTTTCTGCCAAAAAGGCCACCTTTTTGTTCAGATAGAGAAGACTAGATTAGGCTAGACTTAGACTAGAGAACTAGGGATATTTTCCTAATTTATAGAGGGTACTTCTGCTACTGGTAACTGTTCAGTTCATCCTTTCCAATGGAAATTTTTACATAGTGCGCAGTATTTAAAGAGGCAAATACAGAATTTAATCTACTAACCCTAATAAGCTAGCTAGATGGAATGCGAGTTCATATTAAGCTACAGCGTTAAGCTTCATGTGAGTTTTATGTAGTTGTAATAAGTCTGAGTTTGTAACAAAAATGTAGAGTCGTCTGTGCTGCCTACTGTATGCACAGACGACGGCACACAACAGTCTCTTATTGAGGTTAGAATAGGTGCTAAATTGCAGCAACAATGTAGAGTCTAATGTGCTGCATACCTACTGCATGAATATCTGCAGGTTTCAATCACAGATCAAATAAAAATTGCCCTATTTAGCCTTAACTACATATTATTTTTTATGCAAAACAAGGCAGGTATTTGACCACAATCGTACCTGATGTTAAGTGGGATGCAGTCTAGGATGGTACATAAAATATCTGCCCTGTAAGTGCCTATACACTCTCGCCTTGAAAAAGAAAAGGCCCTATATTCATCCTACGAAGCTGATTGGGCGCATCTATTCGCTTTCTTTATCTCACCTTAAAAGTATTGGCGTTTAAATTTAATGTATTTTATTTTAGGATATTCTTACCCTAATTAGGTAAGAATATCTTAAAATAAAATATTTCTTTCAATATTTTAATACTGAATTCCAATAAATTAAAACCAAAATGCAACAATAATAACCAAAACAATTCAGTTTATAAATCTTTCGCTGTATCAATCATACAGTCAGTATGTTAGTCGCTTGCGCACAGCCGCACGCGCAGCGCCTTTGTCTCCACCCCGATTGAACTGTTACAGGGCAGCGTGAGTTATGTTCTAGCCACGACTCGGTGTTATACAGGGTGTAAGTTCTTTTCACGGTTAAAACGAAAGTAGTTTGTTTTTTATTTTTTTATTTATTAATTTGGACCACAAACAGATTCACAATATGTATTCTTAAAAGCTAGTTTTATGGATAGTACTTAGCATGAATCCAACAACGCTGGTCACAATTTAAGATTGCAAATGTTTAATGGGGCGGAGCCTGTCTAGGCATCCGGCGCATACTCTAGTTCTACTAAATGTATCTTGTTGTTGAAAACATTAAGGCTGAGTTGCACCACCTCACTTTGACCGTAACTTAAAGATAACCGGAGTTTTTTGAATGGAGCTTGACAGATTTTTGACGTTTGCCAAAGTTAAAGTATGATGGTGCAAGCCTTAGTAATATACATTTTTTATTTATTTATTATTTAATACAACTTACAATAAATACTGCGAAAATAAATGCCATACGGCATTCTCAGTCTATATTTTTTATCTTTATTGGGGACATTTTTTGATTTGGAAAAGCGAACATAGCTTAAAACAAAAGAAATTCGTCATTTTCAAAGTTTCTATAACATTTCGTACCTACTAAAATACTTCACAAAGGTGCCATGTTATCAATTACTGGCAAAATGCATATTGAACAACTTCGAATATCGGAAACTATGTAGTTGCCAATTCTAGTACAGACAGACGACAGCACATCAAGGTAAACACAATTGCATTTTAGTATGTAGTGGTAAAAGGGGGTGATATTGAAATAAAAATGGATAGTCTGATGTATACCTATGCATAATGTTGAACAAACTGATATTAAAACTAATACAAAATTCTTTATTAAGAACCAAGTCATCAGAATAATAAAAAGGGTAAATAACTCCCCCTGTATACTTGCAGCCTTGCACAGTGACACACATACGCGGCTTTACACTAAACCAATAATAGAATAAAATCAATCTATACCACCCTCTATAACCCACACATGCGCAAACCAATCAATGATTTACAAATGCCCACGCGCACGCACACATGTGCAAAATATTGGGAATATTGGCATTGTAAACATTCATAGATATTTGCGAACTATGCCGACAAACGTTTAATGTTTCCGTCTCTTTCTCGCTCCTTGCAGTAAATGGATCGAGATAAGGATAGAGAGGGATAGCGCACCCGATTTTACAGCTTTGCGAAGGGACAATAGCGTCGCTATTGTTGTAAGTACCCCAAACTTTTTTTAGGTCAAATAAAAGTATTACATTTGTTAGGGACGTGCTGTCCGTATGCACTTACTGCATTCGTTTCGCAGTCAACCTAGGAGACGGAGGGCCGTCTCCCACGCAGTCCAGTCTGAGCGATAATTGTGATTTCTGTGTTTGTGTGTGTCGATGCAACATGTCGTCAGTAGCTGCTACTAATCGTGCTAGTGAAATGTGGAACAATTGTGCTGATGTGAACACTCCAAGTGCCCGAGAAGTGAAACAGTACGGATATGCACAGTATCCGATGGTATCACCAGACTCCTATAACTATCAAAATAACTACTATCCACCAAATGGTGATTATTCTAATACAGTAAGTGCTAGTTACGGTGGCAGGCCATATGGAAACAACAATCAGTGCGATGGAATAGTGAAATCAGAACCGAATAATTGGCATGGTTATCCAACGAGTTACATGCATGATAATCACACTAATTTTGACATGATAAATAAATGGAGAGAAATGAATTACTACGGTCAACACGGACAGCAACTAGCCAATTATGGATTTGATCAAAGAATGAACCAATTACGAAATCAACCTACTCCAGATAATAGGAGCGATGACGCTAGGTCACTCAATTCTCCAAATGTAGGCGATGTAAACTATGGATCACCACAGAGTGCTTCAAGTAACGTAAAACCAGGTTTGGACCATCCAGTGTCAGAAGAGGAAGATTCTCCTAATCTCCGATCCTTATTGACGAAGCCTAAAACAAAGAAGCCGCTGCCGTATTTTGTGAAATGTGATAAACCGTATGCGCAAGAAATGATGCAGCGTATGATGTACCACGCAGATGATGGTGCGGATTGGGAAAAAAGTAATGAAGTTTCGCCGTCGAAGGAATGCAATTTGTCGCAATTTCATGGTGGTTTCGAGAATGGTAAGGGTCAAACGTCAATCAAGAGCGAAGGTGTGGGTGGAGCGCCCGCGAAAGACGCCGCGCCGTCCTCGCTGGAGTCTGCGGAGCCCTGTCAGGACGTGACGAGGGTCGAAGCAGGCGGGGACAATGCGGATTACGCCGAGAATAAAATGGCCGCTACAGCCGATATGCAAGGATATTATCCGTGGATGAAAGGTGTTGGAGGTAAGCTTAAGCAAACAATGCTCTATGTATTTGCTTGATTATTATTTACACAGATCCTACGAACATAATACGTTGCTTTAGCTCTATAGAAATCAGATAGAGTATTGACATGTGTATTTTTTTCTATTTTTCAGGTGACGACAAAAAAGAAGGATCAAAGAGGACGCGCCAAACGTACACTCGCTTCCAGACCTTGGAGTTGGAAAAGGAATTTCATTTCAACAAGTACCTATCCAGGAGGCGCAGGATAGAAGTATCCCATGCCCTGGGACTGACCGAACGACAGATCAAGATTTGGTTTCAGAACAGGAGGATGAAGGCGAAGAAGGATGGAAAGCTTACGACGTCTCCTGATCCTTATGCTGCTGAAGACATGGGTGCTACGAAGATTCCTGGTATGCCTGAGTACATGGAGTCCAGACCACAGATGCCTGGTATAGCAGAGTACCCTAATTTTCCAATGGCTCCAGTATCAGGTAATGTAGGTCACGGAACCATACCCAACGGCATGCCTCCAAATTATATGATGCCCAATTATGGACCCATGATACCCAAAATGTGACCATAACGATATTTTTTATGTTGATTATTTGTACATAGTTATAAATTATTATTTTTTTAAGACTTCATAGAAGGTTTATTTAGGACACTTTTTAAATATAGCGGAGGATTTATTAACCAGTTAACTAAAATTACGATATTGTTTTCTCTCTTCATTTCATACTTCATTAATTTAGCGTCTGAAACTCTGTTCATGTTAAGATGAATGCTTTAGTTTTTATTTCTATTTTGTTTATCTCTCTTGATCAGGTATAGGTAGGTACCTAGGTAAGAAGTAGGTACTTCAATCAAAATATTCAGCGAATGTTATGTATTACAATATGATTAGATTTTTTATATTTTACATTTTATTAAATCCACAATATTAATACTTAACAAAATAGTTCTTTTCTATTTCTGTAATGCGACATATTACTAATATAATTTAATTTCCTTGTAAATATTTGTTGTAAGTAATAAGTTCCTATGTATTGATAAGTTTAGTCATATTAAGAGAATTTACTACTGAATTAGTATTAAGGTTAATTATTTATCAAAATTTTTGCACTTCTCTAGTCAATCAAAGGGCGCTAATTATAAAGAGGAGTTTTGATTCCTGATTATACAAATTACAACGAAATTGGAGTTTATCATTTTCCTTGCTACAATTTCAAATACATTCTTATTTAATAATCATAGAATGTCTAAAGACAAGAAGCTATAAAATAATAATCTGGCTGTATGATAAATTACAAACTTTCCAAAATGAAATATTACTTGATGAAACTATAATTTAAGCAAAATTAAGAAAAAAATACCATCCTTTGTTTTTAGACATTCCAGAATTTCCAGATCAGCTAAAATTACTACGGAATAAATTAATTACCCAGAAAAATATAACAACTGGATAAAATTAAGTATGTATGTACATTTTTTTTTAGAAAATCAAAGTTACAGAATGAATTCTTTCTTTAGTTCCAGAGTTAACTTTGAAAAAAGTAACATACATAAAAAACGGCGTCAATCCTCTCAACAATACACAAACAGACAAACAACGAACCCTTTCTCTGGGCTTAACAGACTCCTTGCATGACTCCCTCGGGACTACTCGGGAGCAACGCGCAAATGTTGACACTTAGTCAGCAATCTTGACATGTTTTGACTGCTCATCGGATTTGGGCGGCGCTTTTAGCAAATCTGCTGAGTAATCCTATTTGAGGATATCTACCTGTTTGGTTTTTGATGGATTTTGACTACTTGTTGTTTGCGGGTGAGCTTCAGTCTGTTTAGACTTTAGATCCTTTTTGGAGAAATGAGGCGCTATTTTTTTTAGGATTGGCTGACCAAGTTATTTTTTATTAAGATCTTGTTAGTACATGAATAGCAAAGAGTTTAAAGCCCGTTTTCACTATCAATCCCTAATTTTTAAGTGACCCCTATGGTAACAAATAACAGGAATTTTGATTTCAAAGGGGTCACTTAAAAATTAGGGATTGATGGTGAAAACGGGCAAAAGTCACATTAAAATCTAAGACCACCTATCGTGGTGTTTCGCGTACCGGACTACGTCAGCTGCAGTTTGCGCGTCTAAACTGCAGGGGGCCAATTTTAGTGTGATAATGATGTTCAGTATTTAAACTTGGGGTCAATGGACCTTGAGGTATGTTCATAATAAGCGTGGTAATTATAAGTGACATTAGGTGACCTATTTAAAAAAAAATACTTAGACCATAATCTTTGGTAACCCCCCAGCCCCAGCTAAGCGTCTAATAATTTTGTTTGGTTTTCAAATTTTGTTCTAAACACCACTAATGTCAAACTCGCTGCTAACTTCACACCGGTTCGTACCCCAATTTTCAAAACTAGACCCTCTTGCATCTGAATAGAGATACACAAAAGGTTCGTTGCGATAGAGATGGGAGATACATCCCATGATGGGTAAGAAAGAGCACGCAACACAATCATCCCTTAGCAGAGGGGTGAGTCAAAAGGACGCATGCGTGGCCGACATTTATCCAAGATGGCTGCTTGTGTTTAGAACGTGTTTTGTTTACTGTAAGTAAAATAGTGATTTTGTTTAATATTTTGAATTAACTCGTGGTTGAAACTAGTAAGGAATATTATTATGTTATGGTAAGTAACTGATGACTGCTAAAGAGTTATGGTAAGTCCTCCAAATCCATGGTCCAAATCCAATCTCGTGTCACTTTTAAATGCAGAGTGAGTGGTAGTGTGAAATCGGTTTTTGTTGACTGTAAAATTATTTCTGTACTGGTTATATTTCTGTCTGATTCATAGACAAACCTAAACGAAGTGTTTCATGTGAATGACAATGAATAAACTTTAAAATCGTATAATCAAGCAATCATAGACTCATGTACAGACAACAGCACTTCGAGGTTAACACTGCAGCATCTTAAGTAGTTGTAATACGTGCGCTGATACTACAAAAATGTAAATCTTGACGTGCTTTCGTCAGTACCTAATTAATGGCGGACAAACTAATTCATTAACGCCCGTATTCACAAACATTACTATGAGGTCTCACAGTGCGCGTGGACACACAGTATGACACGAACCAATCACAGAGCGCTATTCAACGCTGTGCGTTCGTTTTGCTGCTTCACATAAGCAAGCACCGTTTGTGAATACGGGCGTAAGAAGCTGTTTCAAAATCAGGTTTAAAGTTAATTTCAGATTATGTAGTAAAATAAATAATACCTTCTAATTACTTATGAAAACTTGCATTTTTTTGCCATGATGCCATGTTTATTGTGTAATTAGATCCAGAGCTTATAGATTGAACATTCCTTAATCACTGAAGCAAACCAAATATCAACTATTACTCATCACCTGTTAAAAACCAAAATTGGTTCACTAACGACTGCATGGTTTGGAACTGAATGTTGCGCTACGTTTCAGAGCAATCTAATTCCTTTTCTAACACCAGCATCTTAAAGCTCAATTTAATTTTAGGTTAAGATCAGTCCGTACACAGAACGTTTGAATGGAAAGACTAATTAATCCAATGTCGAAGTCTCATTGAAGACGGATGTAAAGAAACCTCCTAATGTATATTTGAATGCCGCATAGTATTAACCTTTGAACGAATCGACTTCGAATCGAAAGGGCTCAGAAACTGTCGAACTAGAAACCATTTTACCTTTGTACAGATTCGTGACCTAACTTCGATTTCAGTTGACTTTGATTTTGAAATCTATTGTACGAAATTTAGAATCAAGTCACTATGTTACGTTAAATTCCACGTACTAGTAAAGTGACTCTACAATCTTTCAGGTAACACATTTTTTGTTAAAAATAGAATTTATATTTTTCTTTTTTTTAAAACAAATTTATAAGGCGAAGATATGGGACCAGTATTTAGAGAGAGCGCTGAGCTAATGAATTAAAGTAACTCGACAAAGTATCGTATTGGATCTAATCTAACTTTGACATATTTTTGAAATGTAAATACGAGTATATTACAGTTTATTCAAGTAATGATTTAATGGATGATTCAACGTTGAAAAACTGGAGGGAGATGACGTTCACTTTCCTTGTGTTTTAGTAAAATTGTGACACATCAATAGGAGCTCACACGGACATTTAGAAACTAAATACTTATCACGTATGATGTGCCTACACCTAGAAGTAGCTCATCAATAGATCTCTTATGCCCGTTTTCACCATCAATCCCTAATTTTTAAGTGACCCCTATGAAAACAAAATTCCTGTTATGTGTTACCATTAGAAACGGGCGTTAGTCTCTTACTACATCGATCCGAATATTTATTATAACGATTACGAAGTAAGGGCTCTTTAAAATTACCTTTTGAGCCGGACGAATCGTGCGTTTGCGAGTTTGTGAATACGGGCGACTTACTATGACTACGAGTCTATGAAAATGTTTTCGTTAGTTACAATATTGCTAATGTATAAACATAACACGATCGCGGCCGTCACCACCACGTCACGTTGCGAGCATGTCCACAAAAAGCGACACAAAGGAATTTGTAGCGCATTGTCAACGTCCATTTGTCAATAACGCTCCAGCGCCGCGCTCGCTGCAGACCTGATCAATGGTGGGGTGATTTGCTTGAGGTCGATTAAAATTTTTGCATCCGACTTCTGCTATTTCCATACTAATATTATAAAGCTTTTAACTTTCAACTTTTAACTTTATAAGATACTGGCAGAGAATGCCTAATGACATAGTTCACCTAATTTACCAAAGTGGCATAAAAGTATAAATAAAGCTAAAGGGTTTTTTGTTTGTTTGAACGCATTAATATCAGGAACTACTAGTCTGATTTAAATAAATCCTTTTGTGTTGGATAGCCCATTTATCGAGGAAGGCTATAAGCTATACATCATTACGCTATTACTAATAGGAGCAGAGTATCAATGAAAAAGTTGTGAAAACGGGAAAAAACATTAAAACTGTTTCTAAATGTTAGTCCGAAATAATGGTGTCATGAAAGTGACCCCCATAGCTTCAAATGAAAAATAAAAGATGCAAAAGTATTTTTGTTACATTCATTTTAATATTATTTCGTTAAATAAAAACGTTTAGAATAAAACGTTTAGATTTTTACAAAAAACATTACGTCAAAATTAAAACTACCTATATTTTAATACAGTTGAAACTCTCCTACAAGGCATAGGGATACCTATAATAATCGCTCGTAATGAAACATCTGAAGGGCTCATCAATTCCCTTTCATCTTATTTGATGGGCAATTATCTTCTTATCACTCTTCATGCTCCTTCAGTACTTGACCTTAACAAGTTAAAATTAATAATGTCACTCCTTATCGCTAAACGGTTTGTTCTCTCACATTAAAATTAATTGCTCACCGCTTTGTAATTACAAATTAATTTATGTATACTGATAACGGTTTACTTTGATCATTTATACACTTGTTCATATGGTTTGAATAATATTATTGTTGTATGAGTAGGAGATAATTTTAAGTACAAATTGCATGATAAAATTCAGATATATCATTCTGTTTGTGTTCTTTCAGAATATTATTTTCCTACTTAAAATAACTGATTTTATGTTGAATAAGGGTCTTTTTTCTAATTACTAATAAATAGGTAAATTAGGCACTATTACAACATTGGAGTCTCAAAATATGATAAATTAAAACTTGGAGATACAAGAATGGTTATTTTTATGTATCATTATTTTTACGTATCATATTTTTTATCACCACAGAGTCGAAATTGATACAAACATGAGTGACGGATCGAAAATCACACTGAAAAATAAGTAGCTTTAACAGCAAGGATCATAGGTAGCGGGGAGACCTAGAAGAGTTGTGCCAGAGGAGAGTTGTGACGTTGTCGATTTTTGTAAACTTATTACTATCAGCGAGTTCGCAATAGCGCATATTTGTTAGCTCAAGACTTGAACTACAAACGCGCGCTGTTACGGAGCTCACAAGTAGTTA